ATATATATATATATATATATATATATATATATATATACATCCACAGTGGGATTCCCCTCAAATTATAAGGAATCTCATAAGGGTACTGATGATTGTCCTTTTATTAAGAATGAGAGTAGGAAATGTGGAAAAAAATAATATTTTTCTCTGAATCAAAAATTTCTGCTCTGACGGAAAAAATTCAAATTGCTCTTATTGGAAAATTTAAGTGGGGACACCCTCCTATGGATGTTATCAGAAAGAGGGTTGATGATCGTAAAGCTAGCAAACATGTGGAAAGAGACTCATGGAAATGAGACATGTGTTGATCTAACTAACAGTGGCTGAAGGCTACACCAGGATTTTCTCCAAGAAATATCTTAATATCGAAGGCAAATCAATGAAGTTACTCAATTGGTCTCCTAATTTCGACCCAAATCATAAAACTCCCATTGTACCGGTATGATTTAGTTTACCTGGTCTCAAGCTGTATTTTTTTCATCATCAGGTTCTCTACTATATCGGGGTCATTCTTGGGGATTCTCTGAAACTAGATCTACCTACTTTTGACCTAACCAGACCCTCGGTGGCCAGAATACTTGTGGAAAGGGATATTACTTTACCTGACGTTACTAAAGTCTGGTTGGACACAACTCATAATGGTTATTGACAACAAATCGTCATTGAACACAAACCCCCATATAGTACCCACTGTAAGATGTTTGGTCATATCTTTGCTAAATGTCACAAACGACATCCTAATTTGAAATCTAAGGTTCAAGTGAATAAGGATGGGTCTAACCCCACTGCTGTGGACATTTTAGTTCCACCTGAGGAGGAAACTACCAGACACGAGGTGTTTGTTGGCTCTGAGGATCCTCCCCATGAAACTGTTGTTACTGCTACTGCGAGTGATGAGATGCTGGAACCTACAAAATCCCTACAAAACAATACTGATGGACTCTTACCTATAAATGATGGTGTTCATACTGATAATCAGGAGAGCCTCGCAGATAATCAGGAGAGCCTCGGAGCCTCGCAGCTCCATTTCTTCAAGAAGTATCCGATGTAGCGGGAACTCATACTTCACATATTCCAGAACCTACTATGGGTACTACTGTTGGTAATTCTTCTTCTTTAGCTCTACCCCATCAGGCTGATTCTTCGGAGGAGGAATGACATGTTTACACTTCCAGGAGGAAGAAGAAGAATGGAAATTTACTAGAGCTCGATATCAACCGTATAATTTATAAAATAAAATTTAAGTGTTAGATTTTTATTTTAATTCAAAAAAAAAAATATTTTAATTTTTTTTTAAGAAGAAAATAAATTAATCATATTTATGTATTAAATTGCCTTAGAGTTGAAAATTTTAAAATTTATACTTTAGATATTTTATTTTATTATTTTTTAGATAAGATAGAGCATATAAACTGTCTATACGTGGCTTATTTTTTAACTTTATGTGTGACAGATTGATAGGCTTTTGGCCCAATTTTTCTTTATTTTATTAGACCAAATTGAATCAGCAAAAATTTTAAAATGCCACTATAGAATGCTATTATTACATGTCTTGTGTATGTATGTATGTATATATATATATATATCACATAAATACATATGATATGTATATATGCATGTGTACATGTATATGTATGTATGTATGCATGTGTATGCATGTATATGTATGTATGCATATATATGTATATGTACACATGCATACATACAAACATATATGTATCTTTATCTTTAATATATTAGCCCTTGAGCTTTTTCAAAAAAAAAATAAAAATAAAGTGACATATATGTAAAAATTCAAATTTAAGTGTTAGATATGTAAATACATAAAAATTGATTGATATGTATTTAAATATTTCTTAATTTTTTTATAAATATATATATTTTTTAATTATATTCATAAAAATATTTTAAAAAAGTTTTAATTCATTAATTTAAGCCACACATGTCTTCTGCGTGTCCGGTGCGTGGCCTCTTTTTTTAATATTATTTTACCCTGACGCTTCTAGGTTGTG